CCTTTCATGCAGCCAGGGAAACCATCCTGTTAACTCTAATTTCCTATTGTGAATCAACCAGGAAACTACTTAATTGCTACCAAACAACATAGGATATGAAGCCATGATTTAAAGTTGGTCAATATCCTGGTTGGTTTGAAGACCATTATACATAGCTTTTTGGTTTACATATAATGAGGAATAAATTTGGGTCCTGGCTGTTTATTATCTTGGGGGGGGGGGCGGGGGAATGAGGCAGGTACAAGAGACTTCTTGTTTTCAGTTTATTGAGCCAGTATTTGATCATTTGGATGGGGTCACTGTCTTGCATGGTATTTTTAAGCTTAAAAAGATGCAGCCTCTTTCAACATTGGTTTAAATTTCAGTTCAAAAATCCAGATCTTTGATTGCCCCATTGACTAATCTTTAGAAATCTACACACACTTTATTCTTTTTGTTAGAATTACATGAAATGTGTGAAAGTAATAGTTCCTAGTGAGAGGATTGTACTTGCCAGTTCTCTGACAAATAAGTATGGGCAGTGTGGCTGTTATGCACTTTAAATTGTGGTTTTGTTTTTAAAGAAAGGGAACTGCCATTTTTTCATTTCTTAGGAATGAAACATGTAAATTAAATTCTATTTTTTAAAATTATAAGCTTCTAATCCTCACAGTATTGGAGGAGTAAATTGAAAGAGTGCATTGTATCTATTTAAGGGTTGTACCTAACCAAGAGGCTTCTAGATTTTATGTGGAAAATGGGAAGACCTAGGTTTGCTCTAGCCTTTTTTTTTTTTTGTGGGGTGAGGACTCCTAGACTGAGGTTGCAGCCCCTTACACTTTGCCATTTGAACTCCTTTTCAGAGTCTGCAATCAAATCTGTGCATATAGTTTTGGTGGTGAAGAATTAGGACTTGGTGTGAATATAGTATATCTTGGGGGGACCAGACTTGGTCATTGGAAGAACCACATATATTAAATGTCAGATGTTTGAGAGCTGCAAGACATGAACAAATATTTACATTTATTTATTTACTTATTTAGGATGAAGTGGGTATTGTACAATTAATCAGGCTGTTTATTGCTAGTAGTGACTGTGAGGCATTGAAAATGCTTGATTCTTTCTCTATAGGGTTCTTGCCTATGCAGTTTGAGGGCTCAGAGTAGATGAATGAAGCGCTGCTGTGACTGGTTATCACAGCAGGTGATAAGTGCATCTTTCCTTGGACATTTTTTGTGCTTGCCTGCTCAGCTGCTGGTTGAGCCTTGATTGGCTGAAGCTCAGTGTTGAAGTCATATGATTGAAGCACCACAAATGGTTATCCCAGCAGGAGACACATGCTTCATTCCCTGCTTTTGTTCATGTCAGGTTGGTTGCTTAGAAGAGAAGTTGCATCAGGCTTATTCAGCCCCTCTGCAAGCTGTAGAATAAACTCAAAGAGCCACATGCGGCTCACGAGCTTTAGTTGGGCCACCCCTGGTATAGGTGTTCTTAGATTATGTCATCAGAAAGTTACTTACAAAAATTATTTTGGCAATGCTGTCTGGAATAGTGAGCACTGTGCAAAATAAAATAATCTGTGTTCCAGAAAATTTCTTAGGAGTTGTTTTCTGATCTTCCTCATGTCTCCATTTTCTCTTCATCAAGGTACTTTAGAAAGGAGCAGTTGAAAATCTATTCAGTCATGTGGTGAGCTGTTTTGAAAAAGTAGGTTGCCATATGGATAGGTTCTGACATTATTGTAGGGCAAGCAGCCATTCATACATATGAATGAAGTCTTAGTATCGAAAACCTTTTTGAAAAAGTCTTCCTATTCCTATATTTAATTTAGAATATTGAAGGAACAGGATAGCTCTTTTGAAGTCCCAGTAGAGAAGCACTAGTTGAATCTCCACTTGCTTTCTGGCACTGTGTATAGGTGACCCTGCTTATTCTAAAGATAGATCTAGATGCTGGCAGCTCAGCTGGAATGGTTTAGCTTTGAGCAGATGTCCATAAATGGAAAGAGCAACTGGAGGGTGTGTGTGTGTGTGTGTACACCTTCATGTGTGTGGACGATATATAGCAGGTGGCTGTGTGCTGTTTACTTTTTAAAAAAATCTCTGCAGCAAAAAAGAGAAACTGCTGTGTATGTGTGTACTATGCTTGTGTCTGTATATGTAAATTCAGATACAATCAGTTGTTAATTAACAAACACTGCCATAACTATTTTTTCCTACTGGATTTTTCTTGGTAAGCTCCTACTACAAACATGAGTACCTAATACAGCAATGAACCCCCACATAATAGTAATTTGGATGAGAAATACGTATCCAATAGTGATCAACCATTTCCCTAAAAGGAAAAAAGTCATGTATGAAGACAGTGCTGGGCCAAACATGAGTGACAGAGAAGCAAAACTATATCTACTGTGCAATTTGGAATAAAACTAACTGGGTAAAGTGCCTTGATTGATTAAATAGTAGTAGAGCAGGGTAGTAATTGATTACATAGCTCCTTTCATAGATTAAACTATAACTAGTAGGGATATGTTAATTGTTCAGACAATTAACTATTTGGTTTTTAGCTGCTTAATCAACTGGTTATATTTCCATATCTCACAATCAGTCAGTGTGCATTTTAAATATTTCTAAATGTTTTCTAATGAAGATGACCAGTTTGGAAGGAAGGGAATAGAAGGGGGAAATAGTGAATCAACATCAAAGGTCAGGGAAAAAAAGAGAGAGGAAGCTTTAGTCATTATATGACCCATAAAAGCAACTTTGGGACATTTGGTCACCTGTTTTGGCCTGGTTATATTTCTTTAAGGGATTTCAGCATTGATGATTAAATTGTGACTTCCAGAATTATGAACGAAAATTGCATAATTAAGGTAAAACTATAAGAAACACAAGTGTCATTTTAATGGTAGTGTTACATTGAGCTTGGGGATAGATTGAAATCCCTTACCTAACTCTTTTTCATGGTCTGTGACACACACACACGGGTTATATACCTGTGCAAAACAGCCCTCAGAACGTTGTTCTATGTGTGCTGCAGGCATGCTTCCACCTGCCTTTCATTTCCTTTCAACAGCAGGCAAATCAGGACTTGGAATATTCCCTGCCTAAAAGCAAAAAAGAAAAAAAAGAAGTAAACAAAACACCTCCTTACTACTCATGCTTTTCTTCTCTCCTCTTTGCCCTCTGAGCACTAAGTAAGAAGGTTTCTCCTCTCCACTTCTTTCTTCCATCCTTTTTTCTCTGGAGGTAGTGCAGCATGATGCCCTCAACAGTTGCTGGGCAGAACAGTTCAGCAGAAAATGGAGGCTGGACCTCTCTGTATCTGCTGGCAGAAATGTGAAAACCATGCAGAAACATTGTAACTGGAGTCAATTACAACAATTTTTAAGCACAGAAACCTTAAAACAGACTGTTGATTCTCAGTGGGATTTCATGGAAACCAAAAAGACTCTGCTTCACCATGGATGTTGAATTCTCGCGTAATGACAAGCCCTGCCCATGCTGTTCCCTTCAACCTTTGAAACTGGTGTGTAGTAGACACCATTCACTTGATGTTTGAAAGGTTGTTACCTTCTATGTGAAACACATATCATCCTTTTGAAAAGCCACTTGCTTGTTTTGTGCACTATGCTGGATTTAGTCCTTTCAGTGCTTCACCTGAACTGTTCATCTGGTTTACCAACTAGCTCACCTTCCACCCTTTCTCCCAGTAAAGTGGGGCTCTACAAGGGCAATAGCCTTCTTGTCTGCATTGTTCAGAGGAATACTAATCACCAGGGAAATACCAATACCACAGCTGTGCACTGTAGCCACCTGGAAGCAGAAATCCTCTTTCATCAAACACAACTGCTTAGATGTCAGAACCAGAAACAACACTTCTTTTGGCAGACCTGTTTTTGCCTTCACATTTCCCTGCCATCTTCCACTGGTAAGTTCTTAGCTTTATAGTCACTCTCATGTGTGAGTCACAGAGAAGGAGAACAGGGTGCTTAACTATCAGTGCATTTCTTTGAGTGGTTATCTGTCTACCCACTCTTCTCATGCAGCACTTTGCTCTTCCACTGAGGCATGGAAGAGAGCAAACATGGAACTGAGAGGCAGGTGGGGCCCATGACTGGAGCATGCTCATAGGAAGGGGTGAAACTCCCATGAAAAAACTATATTTTGACTTTGGAATGTTGCAAAGATTGTTTTGTGCGGGTGCATAATCCATATGTGTGAGTCCACAAATGACACATTGGAAAACTACAGTTATAGGGAAGAAAGCTCTCTCCTCCTTTCTTAGCATGGCAACACTTAACACTTGGTGCCTGCTCATGAGTCAAACAACACTTTATAGGATCACTGAAATTACTGTGGCCTTAAAAAAAATCAGTGCAGCCATGGATCATTAACATAGCAATTGTTTACACTTTTCCTAGGCTGTTTTTATCAAATGTGTATTCTGGTAAAGGCTGGGATAGAATTATAAACTGAATACAGGGAATACTGAGTCTGTGTTGACGGTTTGGTTGCTGAATGTTCAACTTGTTTGTGTTATGAAGGGGAAGGAAATGGCTAGTGAGAAGGAGGATCCTTCAGTTGGTGAGATTATTACACAGTATACATTCCTGGTTAATTTCCTTTAAAAATAAACACCAGATCCCTGTTGCCAGTCTTTTAAAATTTGATCATTAATACATAACTAAATCAAACATAGTTAATGGGCTAAAATGTACAAGAATTCAGTCTTAAAACAGAACTGTTCTAGTGTGAATAAAGGTGAAGTTAAATCTCAAGTGTCTATTCCTGCCTCTATGCACCCATTGAAAGGAATGCATTTTTCAACAAATGCCATTTTCAAACCCATTGAAGAGGAAGTATTAAATTTTCGCCTCAAACGTATCTTATACTGTTCATCTTCAGAAATATTTCTTGAAATGGTGTTTATGCCTTGTGCAATACTGGCCTATATAGTGATTGATTTAGGATACCTGTCAATCAAATGTATTTGTGTGATTTATTTATTTATTTATACAGTGGAAGCATCTGTTCATGGCAGCAATGTGCACTGTTCAGATAAGACAATTGAGGCAGCAGAGGCCTTGCTTCATATGGAATCACCAACTTGTTTAAGAGATGCTCGAACACCTGGTATGTCAATAATGCTTTTCTTTACAATTTTGGGGAGAAACACTGGCTTAATTAAACTTAGTTGCTTTTGAGGTTTTGGATGTAAGCTCCTTCCAGGCCAAAAAGCTGTCTGTTCTCCTAATAATATATCCATTATATTGAATACTCATGCTTCTAAATGTTGGTCTCCACATTAAATAATATTGTTGGTGTGCGAAATTACATGTTGCAATATTTGTTTGTGGGAGGGTGCTTCAAATACTTGTTATGTGAATTATATTTGAACAGAGAGACTACGTATCAAAGCAGTATGCATAATTTTTAGATTATTGCTAATTGACTTAAGGAAGAAACACATACATCTGTTATAAACCATCTTACTGGTTTGTAAAGGTATTTCTTAATTGTGCAAAATTTTCTTGGGAACTAAAATTGCATATTCTTATGATATAATGAGTTCACAAAATTAAAGGATATATCTTACTAATGAGAAACCATACTTTCTATAGTTTAGAAGCCTGAAGCCTGATTGACATAATGAAGTACTGGGTTTCATTTTGAAAACAAAACGCTTCCAATTTACAAAGGTTTTGATTGTTATTTTAAAAATTACAAGGTCTGGTAATTTTCAGAGTTAAAAATATATTAATGTCTAATTTCTGGAAGCAAATATTGGGCTAATTTGTATGGTTAAACAAGCTACCATAGCTTTAAATAGCTGTCCAACAGCCCATGAATTATTTCAGGGTTGTTTCCCCTTCAGACCAGCCATGTTGTTAAGATTCTGACAAGATGACAAGCTGTGTCCAGGCAATTAATTAGGGAAATGGTTCTTATGCTTTCAGATTAATACAAACTACTGCCTTGTTTTGATCATGCAGACCATGTAATTATATAATTTTCTTTTTCTTTTTTACCAAAAACATGGGCCCATTTTGTATCATAATAAAGAGTATTTTATCTTGTATTGTGACACGTACAGATATTCTAGAGCATGGGCCCTCAAACTGCGGCCTGTGGGCTGGATCCGGCCCGCCATAGCTCGCCATGCATGCACGTGGTGAGGTGCTGGCCTGCTTGCAAGGAGATCATTTTGGACTCATTGGGAGAAAATGATCTCTGCACATGCATGCCCCTGCCTTTCTGTGCATGTGTGCATGCACGCCCCCCCCGCCCCTGCGTGCCCCCCCTGCGTGCCCCACCTTGGTAGCCCACACCCATCCCTGGCACCTTTCAGCTGGTCCCCATTCAAAAAGTTTGAGGACCCCTGTTCTAGAGTGACAGAATGATGGAATAGTGTTTGTGTTTAGTTTAAGCCAGAGGTGCCTTCTAGATGCTTAGAAATACAACTTCCATAATTCTTGCTGATTGGCCATACTGGCAGGGGTTTATGAGAATGTTAGTGTGAACACATCTAGAGGGTAAAGAGGTTGCTTACTCCTGCTTAAAACCATCCTTGGGATAGTTCCAGAAACATTGTTTCTTTGTTGCTGCTGCTGCTGTTTTATGATGTAGAATATATTTGGTCATGTCTAATGTGAAACAGCTGGATTTTTAAAAGCTCCACCTTTTAATTTGTTTCCTTTAGTGGAGGTTTTTGTCCCACCTTGTGTGTCAACTCCAGAATTCATACATGCTGCCATGAGGCCAGATGTGATTACAGAAACTGTAGTGGAGGTATCAACTGAGGAGTCTGAACCAATGGACACATCTCCTGTACCAACTTCTCCAGAAATTCATGAGCCAATGAAAAAAAAGAAAGGTATTTTGGAGGGGTGTGGAGTTCCAACTAAAAACAGTAAAATAAATACTTTGACAAGGCACAACTTCCTTCGTCTTTTTTGTGTGCTGCTTTGATTTTGATTGGAGAATGAGTGAATGAATATTTTGATTTAATATAAAGTTGTAAACAATTGTTAAAAACTTGCATTCTTTTCCAATAACCTCATACTTCAATTAGTCACAATGGTTCTTTATTAAACATAGTGACATTCTGAAATTACAGACATAGAGGTTTTTCCAGTTATGGTTCAAATTCCCAGTCTGCTATGAGTGTGCTGAGTTTCAAATATATCTCCTTCATAAGGTTTGTTGTGAAGTTGGATGAGATTATTTATGTATTACATTTGCATGCTTAGAAGTTCTGAGGAAGGGATTTTGTGGTACATAAAATAAATCTATTGTCTCAGGATGGGCCATTATCACACACACAGCCAATTTCATATATTGTGATTTACCTTTGTCAACTTTCTGTTAGTATGTTTAAAGTAGATTCTTTCTCTGCATGTAAGCCACTCAGAATTGTGCATTATGAGACATATTGTCTGTATTGTCAGCATTCTCGTTTTTCTTCAGTTTCCTATTTATTAAGATTTGGATGAAAAAGAAATGAAAGTATTATTTCTTTACACACATTTCAGTCTTGCAAACTTTTCTTTGTAGCTGGTCGTAAGCCAAAAACCCAAGTGCCATCAACTATTACCAGTGCATCTCCAGACTTGGGTATAAAAAAGAAGCCAAGAGAAGGCAAAGGTAGTACTGTTATTTTTTCTTTCAGTATCATAAATACCTAGCAAAAATTGGTTAATACTCCTTTATTATAAAGGTTATTATAACCTTTCTTTTTATGGGTTTTACTTTAAATATGTTGACTATTTGCTTGCTACTAGATTTCTGCTTCTCCAGCTAC